TGGCTCTCCCTTGAGGAACTTTAGGAAGACAACAACATGTCCTTCCTGAAAACTGACTGGTGCTGTATTTCATCAGTTTTATTAAGCTCTTCACATCGTGTGTACTAGCTAATGTACAGACCAATATAGACTATAATTTCCAGTGCAGTGAACACACTAAAGCAGACTAAGGAGTTATATATATTTTTAGTGGTTTTCTTATCAACAGCCTGTGTTTGTCCACCGGCAGCAGGCTAGTTTTATGACATTTCATTTGTACATAACAATATTTTTTCCGGTCTGCTGCTGTTGCCCAGCAGTGCCGGCACAGGAGCAGGCGGGGGCTGGCAGCGGTGGAGCCGAGCTGGCGGAGCGCTGTGGAAGGGCTGGCAGCCCCCGCTGCCCCGGGCATAGCCCCAGAGCCCCCAGCTTGCCCGCCGTCACTCCACAGACGTCCTCCTGGTCCCAGGGTGCTTCAGCCACACGCACAGAGCAGCTCTTTCTTTTCTTCCTGTAATAGCTGTGGTATTTCATGCCCACATGGTCCATGAGCCACAAATGTTTTTCCAAGGCATCGACTAGGTATTTTCAGCCTGCCTCTTACGCTGGATTCCACAATACATACCTTTGTGCCTGCCTCCCAACCTCTTACACTGTTTTCATTTAGCGGGAGCCTGTGTCCTTGCTCTGCATGGGGAGCTGCCAGCATTAAAGTCATTTCCCAAGAAAGCCCAGCAGCCTCAACTATGTGAAAGGTTGTCTCTGGGCTTAAGTCGTTTTCTTCTTATAACCTCTCCAATAACCTGAAATCCAGTGCTCCACATCCAATCATTCCTGTAATCCAGGGTGGATTCATCTCACTTTGCCTTAAACCGGTGGAAAAAGACAGGCAGCTCTAGAGGGCAATTCATCCCATTTATTTTAGGCACTGGAGATAACCCTTTCTCCACTGAAAGGAGAGGAAACACCAACGGCTAGCTTGGACCAGCTGTATTCCTTTTGGCTGCATGAAGGCTGGATGAGAGGTACCCCACCCTAGGCTATCTTTAGCAGCTCCAAGGTTATGAGTGGACGGGGAGTTCTCATCTCCAAAACATAAAACCTATTCCTTACTTGGTTTCTCTCTCCTGAACCTCTTGCTCTGCAGACTTGAGTCAGAATAATCATCAAACACTTTCATCAGCTCTTCTCATACTTAAAGCATTATTCCTGGCAATCATATTTCACATGTTTCTTGGCCTTCTGCATGCACACCTCCCCTCCCCAGCTACTAGAATAAAAAAAAATTAACCTCCTTATCTTGATCTGCCAAGGCTCCCTCTGTGTGCAGATCTAATTCTTAGTTCCTCTTGCTCCTGAATTTATGTGAGAGTTTTGCTTGGGAACTAGCAGATCTAGTTATTTGGTGCTCTCCAAATGACATGTTTACTTTGTTTTAGGTGCTACTCCGGTCAAACATTAGTTATGCGGTCTTTTTAGATGAATAGCTGACATCAAGATCACATATGCTGAGTAAAACAAGAAAATAACTGTTAACTGAACTCACGTTTCCTGAAAAGAACTGTTTCCACAGGAGCAGCCGCTGTCCTAGATGCTAACTCATGCCAAAATGGTGGGACACCGGTGTCTTCCTCTGTAGATGTTTCTTTGAAGCTGTTGCAGGTAGATGAGCTCTCTGGCAAATGCTATAAACCCACACAGTCCTAGGAACAAGGTGGCCTTGTCCTCCTTACGTTATCATCTTTTCTGAAGAGAAACATTGTGGTGCAGAGCCCTGAATTCTTGATGTGAAGTGGCATTCCCAGATACTGTATTTCTTTCCAGGTCCCATTATAAACTGGTACAAGTCCTCAGTCTCAATTTGCCTTCAGATTTAGGACATTTTGTCCTCTAAGCGCACTGAAGCTAATGATTCTGGACTTCCCAGGATGGACCTACCCAAAGGACAGTGACAACCAGAGTTCTCTAATTTTAACTGAAAAAAGGAGACAAAATTTGGAGGGTTGGGAAGCTGAGTAAGACAGATCTCCCTTCCTGGGGAGCACATACCAAATTCACATCCCCACAGTGACAGTCTGTGTTAACCTACAGTTCCAGAAGGTCCCCCCGCAGAAGTCAGTGGGGGGACACAATACTTCAACAGCCGGTAGCCAGAGAGAGACCACCCAATACCACCAGCCCCGAGTGAACTCAAACGCTTGAGGGACTGCGGACCGAGGACAGCCATGAATGTGGTGGCCAGAAAGGAGCTTGGTCCATCAGGGTTTGGTCTCTCTTGGGTGTGACAAGGCAGAGCCCCAGGGTGAGAGCAGAAGTGGCTGAAGGATGGAGCTCATCCCGCAGCCCCGCAGAGCGGGGGTCACCGCAACCCCCCAGGGATGAGTCCCTCTGCAGCAGAGTACTGGAAAAAATCACATCTCTTTGGGAAAGATCTGCCACCCCCAAAGAGCCACCTCACAGCTTCCTTCCCACTCAACTCACACACCAGCACTTCAGTTTGGATTTTATTTTTTTTTCATTTTTCATGTAACATTTTCAAAACCAATATAGACCATGTTACCCTTGTTTATAAAAATAGAAATCAATGTAAACTATTTACATTATGTAGGTCACTTGTTCGGTCTACCCGTAAAACATTTACACTGTGTAGTTCACTTGAACAAGTATACCTATGATGAAAGCCTTCAGAATGTTACTATACCAGTAGTCAGAGAAGCAAATATCACTTCATAAAAGATAAACCTTTGTTTCTTTACATTCCCCTTGTATTCAAGACACCACTGAGTATGTAACATCAGTTCTCTGTATGTCTAATTTTTATCTCACATTCACATTTCTTTCTCCTTCTCTAGTTTGGAGGAGGATCTGAGGTATTTAACTTTCTTATATCATGGATACTCCATATATGAAATGCTCTACTTCTTCTCCACTACTTGGTGTAATCCAGCCCTGCGCCTACAGCCAGATGTGTTATCACACGGCTCTTGGAGGATAGAGATGGATAGGAAGAACAAATCACATTTTGAAAGATTAAACTTACTGGCAAACCTAATTTGTTCTCTTATGACAGACTGGCAATTGCTTGATAAAAATGAGCATTCCTGATGTACCTAAACCAGTTTTCAGGTTCCTTCCACCAATGCTCAGTGTGTCTATAGTTTTCTTCCTTCACAGAACCGATATTCAAGTGGATTGACTGCTTTCCACACTTGCAACCACCTTTTCCCATCTGCCCACAAAATACATGTATTCTGTATCATCATCTTTAACATCCCACACCTGGAAACAGTAAGTCCTGCGGTCTTGTTTGGTTTTCATTGACACAGACTGTACCAGAAATATAATCTCTGTGCCTCTATCTTCACAGCAAATATTTAGAATATTTAAAGGGAGACTTTGGCTTAAATCTCATAAAATGGGAAGGTTCTCGCTAATAGATTGAAGAGTTTCTTAATTCAAGCTGCATCCTAATCTTTAAAATCCTTCCAAATATTTATTGGGCTAAACTCAGAACCAGCTATAAGTGATGGGGGAAAGGAATTAGATTATGGCCTCTCTCAGACAGATGCGAGTCATTCATTTCCCTAGTTTGTGGGACCACATGCAGTTCTAACATTCTTACTTTACAATTTGTTTCTTTGGAGCCAACATTTTTGCTGATTATGTTTTTTTCTACAGAGTTTGAAAAACCGCTGGGCTGATTTACCCAAACAAAAAGCTTTATCTTTGGTGACTATTAGAGGTGTCAGTTATGGGTCTGTAACAATCTAGACCTTGAGACTGGATGTCCTCCCCTCCCATACAGATGAAGATAATACACATTACATATGACGGAACTATTTCCCAGCTATTGTGTTATCGCTTGGAAGAGGAAGTAACCGAGTCATTCTACTCATTCTGACCCTCAAAGTACAACATGGTCATTGATTATTTATTGCTCCCTTCTGATTTATGTCAAGACTGGAATCCAGTTAGATTAGAAACCTGACGGGTAGCGTTTTGCATCATGAGGAATCGATTTGCATACTTCAATTTAAAGGACACAAGGTTCCTGAAGCTGCGGCAGCTTTAGACTGGTGCAGACTCATTGTTGATGGGAATCTATGCCAGACTTTTATACTTATCTCACAGAGGAGAATCTGGCCAGCCATGAAAGAGTTAGAGGCATAGAAGGGGAAGACTGTACATTATTACTGGTAAACTGTCAGATCACTTCCAGGAATAAAACTTCATAAATTACTCTCAAAACACTAAAACATCCCTCCAAATTCTTTACTTGGCAAAGATAACAACATATTCCAGCTGCCTATGAATCTCTAGTTATGAGATATTGGTAGATAAAACAGAACTGAATTCTCCAGTGTGCAATTATCTGTTAAGCTGACATAGTTATCTCTGGGGGAGAGATATTCTGAGACAGTCCGTTAAGGAAAGAGTAATCCAAATGGCAAAAAAATTTCAATTTTCTGTGGAAAAGTTCATAGATATTCAGTTGCCATGACAACTGTATTTGGCTCTGGAAAAGGGAAAAAGATGGCTCTTTTTAGACTGATGTAAAATGAGTTTGGATGCCTAAGAAAACTGCATTTTCACTCTGGTGCGGAATAGTCCTTCTGTAGCAAGCTTTCTTAGCTTCTGGTTTTAGATTGTAGGGGTTTTCTTTTCTATTTTTTTTTTTAAACAATAAGACTATTGGAATTACAAAGGGCAGGAGCACCTCCCTTTCCCTATTCCCATATCCAGAGCATATTCCTTGTATTCTGTGTTCCAAAATGCTACAGATTGCACCCTAGCTGCAAAATAATAGAAGCAGGTTTCCTGCATCTAGGCAGCATAAAAATGCAAACTTATATTTATAACTTCATCAGCTCGTAGAAGTCTTGGAGAAGAGGAAAATAGCTGATATATATCTATCTGCTGGGAAAGCAGTATGTCTGATCTGAAATGTCTCTCTGTATCTCACGTGAAAGATAGCCAGGATGATTTTTTGTTCTGTTGGAGGCTGGAAAATAAAGCAGGTTTTAAACCTTTGCTATTGCGTATCCTTTATCGGCTCTCCACTTCCAGCACTTGTGCATGCATATCCCCCCAACGATCACACAGGCCAATGCGATGGGAATCATTGCAATGTACCAGGACAAGCCGACAGCTGGAAAAGTAAAGACATATTTTAAAAAAAAACTCTCAGGACCATAGTTATTTGAGTTCAAGGAGGAAGAGGAGAAATCACAATAAAAAGGATATCTGCAAGTTAACCTTCCAGCAGGGTTGATCACCTGTGAAAGGAAGAGGCTTATTGATTGAGTGCTCTGGGAAAAGGGTTTATGAAGAGATGGATGGAAGAACTGGAAAACAATAGAGGGTGAGAATTTAAAGTTCACTCCTTTTGCATACACGTGACTCTTCCCAACCCCTACTCAGGGCAGCTATGTGCTTTCTGTCTTAATTTGGTGGAAGCAGAGACACTCAAGCAGGAAATAAAAGCACCATGTGGAGAGGGAGTGTGTAACAGCCAGTCCACCCTCAAGCTGTGTGAATCATTTTTCAAACAGAGGGCCTACAAATTACTAATGATCAAGCCAAGACCGAGCTTTTTCCCACAATACAGCTACTTTCCAAGACCAGTGTCCATCCAGACCATTTTGGATTATTCCAGCCTATATTGGTTCATGGATCGGCTCCTCTGTAGTAATACTTGTGTAAGATAATACTTGTGTAAGATAAGGGCAGCACATCACCTAGCAAAGTGAATACAAATCGCTCTTCATAGGATGCTGGAGTGAGTCATGAGGTAGAACTCATAATGAAGACTGTAAATGTTCATGTGCCTTTCTAAGACAGTGCGAGCAAGCTTTGGTGATTCATTGTCATGCAAAGAAACAATGAGCATTGCTTCACATTGTTTTTACAGCTGGTTCTTGGCCAATGGTCTATCACACTGCAACATTAATTGCACTGAGCTTAGGGCCTCTCTTCCCATCACTAGGAGACAAAATAACAACACCCATCGTAATTTACACTTCTTGTTATTTTGGCGGCAGTCTCTGCATGAGGAGAAGGAACACTCTGATCTTTATTCCGCTATTGTCTTTTTTTTTTCACTACTTGCTGAGGAGTTGGAGGAGATCTGGCCCTGATGAACCCAATGGGAGTTTGCCAGTAGTCTCACTGAAGCCATCATTTCACAAAGTGTATCGAAACTGGAGCCCTGTCTAATGAGCAGATATACCACAGATCCTTATCCCTGCAGAAAATGTCAGTGAATGATCCGCAGAAAGGCTATTTCAAAGTCTACAGGTGAAAGAAGCAATCAGTTTTTCCCCAGGCAGTAATTCATCCCAGTACTAGCTCTGACAGTATAAAACGCTTGGATAATAATTTAGCATTAGAATAACTATAGCAATTATCCCAAAAAAGCAGTCAAACTAGTTACCTTCCTGCTTGACCCTTGTTGGCAGTACTTGGTATCCGTATCTGTTCTGGGCCAGACACGTAAAGTCTGTGTAAAAATCCACTTCTTCAACAGAATCAAAAATCAGTGGCACTTCAATGAAGTTTTCACCATTTTCTACAATTGCTCTGGAAGAAAAAGAAAAATTTAATCTTAAATCCTTTTATAAGCTGGCTTTTCTGTCTTTGATGTGTTCATTCTAACAGCACATTGCAAGAAAATGCATTGGATACTTGCTCATTTCTAAACTAGCCCCTCAGTGTTAGAGGACACCTGTATCTTCCATCCCAGTTGTGCCAACTATTTGAGTCTCAGCAGTTAGTACCCATCCTCCACTTGTTGAATCTTCCAGGAAAAAATGATCTGGCTTTGTCTTGCAAAAATAAAGAAAACGGAGGGAAGAAAGGCAAGTAGAATTCTGTAGATCTTTGAGCTCTCTACACAGCATTGTGGAAGGATCCAATTCCTTCTCTCTGACCACCTATTCATCTCTGAGATTAACTCTTGCTCTCAGCTGGAAGAGGATATATGGAGAACATAACCCTGCAAATGCTCACTCAGCAAACTGAACCAATATTCCTGTCTATCACGCACCCAAACCCAAGAGCTCAATACAAGAAACTATCTAGAAAGCTTCTATCTTATTTCAACCTCATTATTTCATCAGTCCAACTATTTGAAAGTGGTTTTCTACTTGACTGCAGTCAAACAGTGTCGCTGGATATCTTTTAGTCATTGCTGGAGCAGTTGTCCAGCTGCTCTTTAATGATCTGATTGTGAGTCTGCTATGGGCTGCAACAAGGGAGTTCCCTGTGCTCTCCTCCTGGGACCGTACCAAAGAAAGGCAGCAACATGACGGTGGGTGCTTTCCAAAGAGATTTCTGCAGGGAATTTGTTTTCCTGGTGGGACTTGACCTGTTTTGCCTTGCTGCCATTCTGAGGGCTTCTAGCAGGACTAGGGTGTCTCACACACCATGGGCTGCGCGTGAGCCCTAGCTGGTGTGGTCCCTGTCCTTGTGCAATTGTATATAATAGTAATAACGATGATAGTAATAATAAAAATGACTTTTAAAGTCCAAGTAAGTAAGTATATGTGCTGTTCTATTCTAAAGCCTGCAGAGACTATAGCCACAGCACATTTTATGGGTCCTGACCTCAGGTTTAACGCATTGTCACTTACCCATGTAAACAACATTATGAATTAATGGTCTCCGTCATGCCGTGGGGAATGTGAAAACACGTAAGGGCTTGGGCATACAGCTGAGTTACCGTGTTACCTCTGGCTGCAGCTCTGCAATAAACTAAACATGGCCAGGTTTCTATCTGGCACTGATGGCCACAAATGGCCAAAACCAACTCATGTCCATAACTGTTAAAGAAGCATGTCCCTCAAAATACGGATGCTATCATCCCCAGATCCTGTTGGGAATGGTCCCTGCCCCATGCTAAATCCTAATCAATAGCCAGGAGCTCTTTGGGAAGGGGCCAGCTGGTGAGTGACCAGTTTAACCATTAACAGCAGAGGTAATGGCATCCCAGAGCCCAGGAACCTTCCCGGCTCTGTCCACCAGTACAGGCAAAGCGCCTGTGAACCAGGGGAGGGTGATGATCTCTGTGGACACTCAGCTTCATCAAATGAGAGCTAAAACATGCTGACTTGGACCTCAATGAAGAGATTTTGGTCGGTAGGTTTACCTCATGTTTGCAAAGCACTAGAACCATGCCTGAACATAGCAAGTTAGCGTGGCTCAGGTACAGAAAGCAGATCTTTTCCCTCCTTTCCTAGTGGGAAAAGCCTTGGGGCACGCAGCTGGAAAAGCCTTGAGGTGTGCAGCTATGAGGCAGCTCTGCAAGACTGGGAGAGACAATGGATCAAGGCAAGAGAATGTAGGACATCCTGCTTCTCCCTCCCACAGCATCCCCCCCAGTGCTTCCCTGGCGCCAGCTCCAGCACTCACTGGGAGTCTCTGTGAGTCAGTTGAACTCACTAATGTGGAAAAGAACAAGCCTAAGGGAAAAACTATTCTACTAAAAAAATAAATAAGAACCACTGGATAGTTTTCTGTTGTCTTCCTGTTTTCAGAGAACCTCATGAATGTCAGGGAGAGGGTGTTGTCATTTGCTGGAAAAGGCAAGGAGAGAGATAAGGCAAGCACCGGGAAGAATCGAGTCCCACTGTTTTCCACTGCAGTCAGCTCTTGCATCAGCTCAGCTGCCCACAAAAATGTGCATCAAGTTTAAGCCTCAAAGTTGGTTCATTTGCGGTATATCATGAATAAAATCCACAGATAAAGAATTGATTTCACCCTGCCTGGGTTGGGTTTGGGGTTTTTTGCTTGCCTGTTTTTTTCTCAGCTCTCACCTTCACTTCAGATCTGTCCGTATCCCGTTTCATTACCTGGCATTCAGCTGCACTGAGAGCCCCTGTAACACCACAGGTTAAAGCAACAAGCACAAGGAAACACTTTCAGCCAGACTTACTGTCGTTCCCCCTCTGTAACTCTGCTTTGCATGTAAACCACATCGACGGCGGTGTCATTTGCTAGCCATTCCACATCGGTATGGACGTGGCTGCTCGGTCCAACAAACACTTTGCACGGGAGAGTCATCTTGGAGCCTGTTGGTAAAAGAAAGATTAAAAACCCATTTTGATACATATGGAGAACTACTCTTCCTCTTGGTGAAAAGCAGCATCTCCAGTGGGAGATCAAGTTCATACACACGTCAAGCACCACTACATTCAAAACTGAAGTTAAGCCCCAGATTGCTTTTGATCCCTTACTCCTTGGCAGCAAGACCCTTCAGTTTGGCAGTCCTTCCAGCTGCTAACGAAATTACTTTCCCATTGCAACAGTTAGCAACTCTTGCACTAGAGACATTCCTCAGGAGGCAAAGCCATGTTCCTGCGGCCTTGCTCCTTCTGACGTACTGCAGCCTGAAGGGCACAATGTGATTTACCGCTCCGGAGCAACTGCATTAACCAGCAGTGTAGCTTCACTCAAGAGATGCTGTGGGCAAGGGCATTCAGCTCAAGGTGGCACCTCCAGAGATAAAGCAATCATGCAAAAATTCAGAAATTTTACTGTCATTATTGTAACTCGGAGCTAAGGATAAAGAGCCTTCAGACTGGTGCATTATCTATATTATATAGAAAATACAGGGCTCAATAATGCATCCAATTGTATTATTGTGTCTGTGCAGATGGTGATAAAAGAGATAGAAAACGCTCCATGAAGCTAGACAGGCAAAAAAAATGACTTGGTAGTTCTACGCTGGTAGAAAGAAAAGTGGCACGGAAAACTAAGGCATCATAGGACACAGCTGTGTGTATAGTACCCAAGTTAAAAAAGCTTAGTGTAAAATATATCTGGCACTTTCTGGGAAGAGGAAATGCAACAGAAATTTGTTGTCATAATATAATCTTCGAAGAGAAATTGAGATCCTATCAAGGTACTTTGTAATCAACAACAACTGTCTAGTTCAAACAGTAAAAAGCAATGATGGCTCATTCAAAGCTACCAGATAACCTAGACCAATTTGAGGAAATACTGAAAAAGGAAAGTTCTTAGCGAAGGGGGAACTCCAGACAGCTGATCTAATGGTGCAAACATGCTTTTATTGCTTTGTTAGTGGCTAAAATCTACAGCAGTTCTGCAGCCTCTCCTCCATGGAAGATAGCATCTAGTTGTAGACAATAAGAAGCAAAGACTACTCCAGCACCGACCCCCAGCTAATATAATCGAGATCAAACGAACTACAACAGCTTATGCCAACAGATTACACCATAAGAGGATCTGCTCTAATTTTTCACTGATTAGATGTTTCCAAAACCAATGTTGGGCCTTACCAAGAGCAGCTGATGTTGTCTTTTGCGTCGGATACACAATTATTGGGGTAATTCTCTTTTCTTGCTCTGGAGAGAGAAGGAGAACAGAGGGTCAGTGCGAGCACAGGAGAAAATGTGGGCATTGCCCCAGAACTGTAAATAGAAACGTGCCACTCGGCTCAACATCTTTCATCTCCTGGTAGAGCATTGGGTTATTAAACCCACTGGCAAAGGGAGAAATTCCAATGTGAAGCCTAGAGATCCGTGTTTGTGGAGATAGGATAGGATCAAGCTCACTCCTTGATCCTGAAAGCTGCACCGCCGAGGAATTTATGGCTGATTAGCGAGGGTCTTTTGGAAGGGACAGTAACATCAGGCACTAAGCACGGCCCTTCTCACGGGCCGTGAAGTGCCAGGATCCTC